ATGGGCCACGGTGGAGATGAGGGAGCAAGGAGCCAAGGCAGAGCCGATGGGTCGGAGGACCGAGGTGGAGTCCGGGACTCGAAGGCTGGAGGCAGAGACAGGGGATCCTCATGCCTAGGCAGAGACTGGAAGGCCCGAGGTGAATCATACAACCAGTGGAGGCATGGCTGAGACTGGCTGGTTCTAGGAGAGGAGTCAGGAGAGGGAGGTTGGGAGGGAAATTAGGAGAACATGAGCTGGGCGGAACCAGCATAGGAGACTCAGGAAAGCTGAGCGGAAGCAGCGGAGACTAAGAAGATGTAGCAGAATTGGTTATTACCTCCCTAAATCAGTCTATTAAATTCTCTTTAAAAATGTCCATAAGTTCTTCTAAATAGTTTCCAGAGGCCAGTTGCAGCTCAGCGGCGGGAGTGTGGGCGGGGCTTCCCTTCAAGCCATCGATCTCCACTAGTGCTCCCTTAGGTACATTCGGTCTTGCCGGCTCACACACCTGGTCAGACGCTCTGGGGCGATGACAAGCGTAGTCGCTTCTCACATTGGCTCTTCAGTCATAACAGGCTCGGGCTCTCCGTCTGCAGTGGGCTCAGGCACACATTCCATGCAGCTGGGTGATGATGGCTGGCTGGGCTCTGGGTCGGGAGTGGGGCTGGAGATGTCGACCTTAGCGGGGCAGTTTGAGAAATATAGTCTATAACTCTCCAGCACCTGCTGCAAATCTCCCTCAAGGACCTTCCCTAGACTGCTTAGTTTTTGTCGAGGTGTTCAATCCGACTAAATAAAAGGTGCACAGGCAGCTGTCTGGGTAATGCGTTAGGAAGCAAGATCTAAAAAGTCCCTCGTGTGGTCCCCGAGGGAGCAATCCTCTTGCTCCAGGCAGAGGAGCTTGACAGCAGGCAAATCCATAAAAAACCAAAAAAGAACAAAACAAAAAGAGAAAGCCGCAAATACTCACTTTTTTTAGTCGGTTATTCTGTCACGTTTTGTGCTATTTAAAGGACACAATGAAGGAGTATTATCCAAAAATAGTCTTTTAATTATAAATCCACAAGGAATACACACAGGAGAATCATAGGAGCAAGTGTAGCACACACAATAGTAAAGCAAAAAATAACCGGCAATGACTGAACAAAACAGGGAGTATAAATAAGGAGACTAATGAATAACAGCTGCAAATCATAAGTAACCATAGAAACAAATCAGGACTGAACAGAAACTAGGACAATGTAACTAAACAAGGCAGGAAAACAGGAACAACCAAAAGTCCATAACTGTGACATGTACCTTATGGAGCTCTAGATTTATATGAAAGGCAGAATATTAGTGTGTTTGTCATTGGTTAATATTAGTGTTGATGATGGTTGATGATTGTTTTGGCACCCAGAGAATTGCAATACACATGGAGTTTCACTTTTTTAAAATATTAATATATAACTACTCACTTATTGATATTTATGGATAAACGTAGTTTGCAGGAGCACCTCTGTTGTTTGCCTTTTTGCTTGATTTTTACAAGAAACAAATATGCTTTAAAATAGTTTTGAAATGGCACAGTTTCTAAATCTAAAAATCTGTTTGATATTTTAGGTACTTTTTGAAACCTCATATACTAATATATATATATATATATATATATATATATATATATATATATTTATATACTTATACTGTATATATATTATATTAGATTTAGATTTAGTCATTTAGCAGACGCTTTTATCCGAAGCGACTTACAAATGAGGACAAGGGAAGCAATCAAAATCAAAATGATATACAAGTGCTATAACAAGTCTCAGTTAGCTTAACGCAGTACAGGTTTTTTTAAATAATATAATCAATAAAAAGAAAACCGATAGAATAGAAAAAGAATAGAGCAAGCTAGTGTTAGAGGTCTTTTTTGCTTTTGTTAATTGTATAATAAATGAGAAATTTTTATAAATATTTTTAAAGAAAACAAGCAGCAAATGAATAGAGTACAAGTCTAAAAGGGGTGCAGAGCCAGTGGTGGTTTTGTAGGCAAACATCAATGCCTTGAATTTTATGTGAGCATCTATTGGTAGCCAGTGCAAATTGATAAACAGAGGTGTGACGTGCATTCTTTTTGGCTCATTAAAAATTAATCTTGCTGCCGCGTTCTGGATTAATTTTAAAGGTTTGATAGAACTGACTGGAAGACCTGCCAAGAGAGCATTGCAATAGTCCAGCCTGGACAGAACAAGAGCTTGAACAAGGAGTTGTGAAGCATGTCCCAAAAGAAAGGGCCTGATCTTCTTGATGTTGAATAAAGCAAATCTGCAGGACTGGACAGTTTTAGCAATGTGGTCTGAGAAAGTCAGCTGATCATCAATCATAACTCTAAGGTTTTTGGCTGTTTTTGAAGGAGTTATAGTTGATGTGCCTAACTGGATGGTGAAATTGTGATGAAATGATGGGTTTGCTGGAACCACAAGCAGTTCTGTCTTGGCAAGGTTGAGTTGAAGGTGTCACTGGAGTGCGGTTCCTGAGATGCCCTTTGCCAATAGGGTTGACAGGAGGATCTGGTGGTTAACTGTGTCAAAAGCAGCGGACAGATCCAGCAAGATAAGTAGAGAAGATTTGGAATCCACTCTTGCCGGTCTTAGGGCTTCAGGGCTTCAACGCAAGGCAGTCTCGGTTGAATGTCAAAGAGGTTGTTCTGTGTGAGAAAGGCAGAGACTTGGTTGAACACATGAACACAGAGTGTTTTTACAATGAAAGGAAGAAGGGAAACCGGTCTGTAGTTCTCTAAAAGAGATGGGTTAAGGGTGGGTTTCTTCAGTAGTGGGGTTATATGAGACTGTCTAAATGTTGAGGGAAAAACACCAGTGTGAAGGGATATGTTAATGATGTGAGTGAGTGCAGGTACAACTGCAGGAGAAATGGCTTGAAGGAGATGAGATGGAATAGGATCAAGCAGACAAGTAGTAGGATGATTAGAAAGGATGAGTTTGGAGACTTCTGCCTCAGAGAGTGAAGAGAAGGATGTGAACGAGTGTATGTTTGTGTAATGTGGGGTTTGGGTTTTGTTTTTGTTTCATGTTCATGTCCATGTCTTTTATTTTGTAATTGTTTCCTGATGTTAGTGTCATGCTTTCCTTGCCTTATGTCTCTCTGCCTTGTGTATGTGTCATGTTCTGATTGGTAGTCTTAGTCATGTGTTTTGTTCCCCATTGGTTTGTTCATGTCATGTGACCCTCCTTGTCTGCTATAAGTAGCCTTCATGTTCCCATTGTGCCCTTGTCGTGTTTTGATGTTGTAACCCGCTGTCGGTGAGTCTAGTCTGTTCATGCCTCGTCAAGTCAAGTCAAGTCTGTGTATCTTGTTTGGATTATTGTTTGGATGTTTGGATCACACTGTAAATAAAACTGCACGCTCACTACGCTCGCCTTCAGTGGACTGACTCGTTACAGAAAACACGACCCCCAAAATGAACCCAGCAGATCGTCTCGTTCGACTTCGCCAAGGAAGCCGGCCTATAGAGGATTATGTGGCAGACTTTTGTAAGTTGTGTCATTTGGTGGACTTTCATGACACTTTCCTGAAAGACATTTTTCGTTATGGTTTGGGACAAAATTTATCTCGTTTAATGCCACGCAATACCCCTCAATGGACTCTTGAAAAATACAAAGACTTTGCTCTGCAGTTGAGTGGATCTGTTTTCACTGTGGGTGTCATGGAGAAGGAACATGACACTTCCCAAAAGTTTGCTCACGTCATGCTTACCAAGCCATAGCCTGCTCACGTCATGTCTGCTACGCCAAAGCCTGCTCACGTCATG